GGAAGATGAGCTCAATGTACACATTCAATCCCTGTGTTTACCCAGAAGCCTCCTGGCTTCTCCCCAAGAAGAGGTCAGAGCCACAGCCTGCAGAGGAGGACATTGAGGCAGCTCCCTCAGCATGAGGCTGGCGCTGCTGGATCCAGTGGGGAGAGGCTATGGTCCCCTAGGGCTGAGGGGGGCAGACAGACAGAGCTGTAGGCGGGGCCTGAGCATCTGTCCTTGGAGTTCTGGAGTCCTGGAGTCCTGAATCTCTGCTGCTACCGAGAGAGAGGGAAGGAGACCTCCAGGACTTGCTTTTCACTAGGGGGGCTCTGGACTTGGTGGAGAGGTGTCTGTTCACTTCAGGGCTTCCATCCCAGGCCTGGGCTCCCAGGACTGGGCCTGCTTAGCCTCCTCCCCTTCACCCCCCCCCACCAATGATGTCATAGGTGTGACACTCTGCAGCCAAAGACCAGGCAAGCCCAGGCGGGTGTCTACCACCTCCAAAATAAAACGTGTTTTCCAAACTGTTGCTGAAGCTGCTAAAATGTTTTTTAAAACATTTACACTTCTCTTGATATAAGGCAAATACCTTCTGTCAGCGGGGGTGGGCCGGGTGGGGGAGCCCTGGGCGGGGAGGCAAGATCCAGCGGCTTTGGTGTCATTGGTGACAGCCATGTGTGTTCCCTTCCGGTGGAATTTCTCCTCCCAAGGTCTCTCTGTCCTTGTGGGGGATGTGGGAACTGGGTCCTCGGACGCTTCTGTTTTAGGAAGCCTCAGCTCGCTGAGAAATTGTTCTAGGGGAAGTGTCTTTGAAGGAGGTGAGGCGGACACAAAGTCCAAAGCCGAGGTGATGGGGAGTCCCCAGGATGAGTGTTTCCTGGGGAGTGGCAACCATCCCAAGAGGTGGCAGGTGCTGGAGACAGGACTGCGGTGGGGGACACCTGGGGAGACTGGACTGCAGCCCCAGGGCTGCCTTCCCAGCCACCTGACCAAAGGGGATGGAAGGCAGAGAGTCCCCAGACACCCCAGGCTGTCTGGGCCTGGGGAGCGTCACAGGGCCCTAGAGAGGGGGCTGGGGACCTGGAGCAATTCACTGTAAGTTACAAAAAAAGAAATCACATGCATCAGACCCGAACTGTGCACAGCTGCCTGGCTTTCCACTCCAGCAGGACCCGTGACACCCACTGTCCTCCAGCCGCTCTCAAAGGCCAGGGAAGCCCGCCCACCCCGGCCTCCATGACAGACCCACTGCTGCAGCCACACACTCAGTGTGTCAGGCACTAGTTGGAATGGCTTCTGATCACACATGAGGCCCTGGGGCTCCGGCTTCTTCTCTGGGGAAGCACCGTGTGTTCTCTCCCAGGCAGTGCTGTGGTGGTGGCAGCCAAGCACATGGCTCCTCTACCAGCCTGGAGTCACCCTCTATGCCCAGAAACTCCCCCAGGAGAAGGGCATGGGTGGCTCCTCATACCATGGCAAGGGACAAGAGGGACTGTGTGGGCCTGGTGGTCACATGCACACTTAACATACACCCATACATGTACACACATACACCCCCATACCCTATACACATACCATACATACACCACACATGTGCCACACACACACTCCCATACACACCACACATACAAACATATCACACATGCATACCCACATACCCCACACATGCACCACACAAATATACACACAGCACACACATGCACCACACATATACCCACACCACACACATGTACATATCACACAAGTGCACCAAACATGCACAGATGCCACATATATCTGTACACACCACACATATGCACCACACATGTCCACACTGCACACACCACACACACCACATACGCTTACCCACACACACAGTATGCACGCAGGACACACACTGTGCCCGTTGGCCTCTCTCCACCAGCCAAAGCTCCTCTGCCAGCCCTGGCATCTGCTTAGAGTGGTGGAGAGGCAGCCCTTTTTTCCTGGGGCTCCCACAGTAAGCTGAGCAGCTGGAACTTCTCCCCTCAGGGCTATGGGGACGCAGAAGGCAGGGAGCTGGGCAGGCTATGGTTTGCAGTGTCGGGAGCCTACAGGGCAGGCCCCCACTTGCCTCTCCTTCTGCCACCATGCAGTTCCTTCCCCCCTGCAGTGGTCAGCCTAGCCTTGGAGCTGGGGCTAGTTCAGGGGGCTCCACATCAGTGAGAGCCATGTCTATCATTGCTGAAAGCAGAGCAGCCACCAGCACTGGCCCAGTCTGGATGCAGGGAAGAGTGGTGCTCAGACTTGGCCCAAGCCAGGGTGGCCACAGCTTGGTCTGACCAGAGATGCCCTGTCTGTCCTCAGCTTGCACCTCTGGCCATCCCAGGTTCAGGGCCACTCTGCTCTGTCTGGTCTGTGGAAACAGGAACCCCAAAGTCCATGTAATCACAAGGGAATCGTTTGTAGGAGGCAACCGTTCCCAACTGGGAAGCTAGTGCTCTCTGGTGACCGCTCTGGGGCCTGTGGCCATGCCTGGAAGCCCTATTTCAGGGTCTTTGGAGTCAGCATTGGCTCAAGCAGCATGCGTTTGCCTTGACGCCAGCAGATGGAGCCCTGAGCTAGCTCACAACCCTCCAGTCCCCATACATCCTCCATCTTCTGTCCTCTGTGACTGGGCATCCTCCAGGACAGAGCCCGGGGATCTTTCTGTCTGTGAACACCCACAATCACCTTCCCACACTGCGTCGCCGCAGTGTGTACAGGACCTAGCTCTGCTATGCTAGGTTCTTAACACACGTCTGTTGTGTGGTTGGTTGGTTGGTTGGATGGATGGATGGTTGGATGGATGGTTGGATGGATGGATGGATGGATGGTTGGATGGATGGATGGATGGATGGTTGGATGGATGGATGGATGGATGGATGGATGGGTAGGTGGGTGGGTGGACAAATGCATAGATAGGTGAATGGACAGATTGATGGAAAGATTGATGGATCAGTAGGTAAGTGGTCATATGGATGAATGATGGATGGATGGATGAATGGAGACATGAGTGGGTGAGTAGGTAGATAGATGGATATGGGGGTGGTTGGGTAAATGGATGGAGGGATGGATGGGTGGATGAATGAATGGATGAAGGGATGGATGGGTAGATAGATGAATGGAAAGTTGGACAGATGGGTAGGTGATTGGGCAAATAGATGAATGTGTGTGTTGGCAGGTAGGTGGTTGGAGGGATAGATGTTTGGATAAAGGGATGGATAGATGAATGGATGGATGGGTAAGTGGGCAGATGGATAGATGAACAGACTGATAAATGAGACAAATGGATGGAGGGATGGGTAGATGGATGGATAGATGAATGGATGGATGGATGTATAGATGGGAAGATGGACAGATAGGTGGGTGAGTGGGCAGATGGATGGACAGAATGATGGATGAGATTAATGGACGGATGGATAAATGGATGAACAGACAGATGGATAGAAAGATAGATGGGTGGGTGAGTGGGCATATGGATAGATGGGTGGGTGGACAGACTGGATGAGATGAATGAATGGGTGGATGGAGGGAGGGAGGGATGGATGGATGGTCAGACTGATGGATGAGAGGGATGGATGGATGCCTGGGTGTATGGACGAATGGATGGACAGACAGATGGACAACGGGTAGGTGTATGTAGTAAAAGAAGGAAATACATGAGGGGAGGCAAAGATTTCTTGGTAGACTGAAGCCATAGCCCCTGCTGTGGACTAAATTTTCTCAGGAAATAGGTTGAAAGCTTAACATCATCTCCAGAAGCTATTTTCTTGCCTCTCTCATACCCAGCATTCCTTGTCGTCAGTCTCGTCATCAGGCTCCCTCTGGCGCTGCCTTTCTTACCTCTTTGTTCCTTGGTTGCACCCCTTCTCTTCCCTGGGGCTGGGCATTCTCAATTGGTAACATGAACCTGGAGGGGATGTGAATGGAGATGAGGTTTCTGGGGAGAAACAGCTGTTTCCACCCTGAGCATAACTCCTGGCCCATCACGGGCTTTGGTAAGCTCGAGTAGCCTGGCAGCTGCCCCCAGATCCCCACCCCCACCCCACGCCGCCTCTTTCCTCCCCGCTTTGATGTTCTCAAGTTAGTCCTGGCTCAGCCTCTGCGGCTGCTGATATGAATACACTAAGTGGATCAATAACATGTCAGTCCTTTGCCGGGAGCAAGGGGAAGAGGGGGTCTGCATCTATCAGGTGCTGAGTGACAGCAAATCATTTTTCACCTGGCATTCACCCTTCCAAAGATAAGTGCAGCTCTGCTCGGAACAAGAAGGCAACGTCAGAGGCTCCCCTGCCCCAATTCCTGCAGAGCCCAGGGCACCAGCCTGGCTCACATTTCCACACCCTACACATGATCCCATGTTGAGTGTCGGACTCAGTGGGAGTGTGTGCACGCCCAGGGTTCATGAGCACATGTGTCTGTGGGTGGGACTGGATCTGTGTGTGTGTGTGTGCGTGCGTGCACATATCTGAGCATTTGAGAATGTGCATGACTGTATATGTGTAGATGTCTGTGTGCACCTCCATGGAAATCTCAGTATCCATGTGAATATGTGCATGCACAGGAACCTAGGAGCATGTGTCTGACCATTTGTGTGCATGTGTGTTGTCTACACAAAGGTGTGTGCAGGGCCTGTATTCATCATCAGGGTGCTGCTGTATATGCCAGCATCTGCATATGATTGAGTCCTCTCTCCAGGAGATGTGATTCCAGGGAAGGCTGTCCTTCCCTGGGCCATCTCACTGTCACTCCCTGCTTAGCTGGTAGAGTGGAGTAGTGGCTAGAACCCTATTCTCACCTGCTATCCCCCTTCCTGCTAAAGAAAGCAGGTATCTGTAGGAGGAAGGCAGTCTGAGGGAGAAGGATCCTGGGTTGGACAGGAGTGTTTCAATTGTAAGAGACAGCATCAGGTAGGGCTGTATCTAGGTGCTGCCTCGATGTAGTCAGTGTCCGACCTACCCTCTGCGGGAAGACTGAGCTCGTTCGGAAAAAACCGGACCGCAGGCTAGAGGAAATTCCTTAAGTTCAGGCTTTATTGAGAGGAAAGAGCCTCCGGGCAGGCCAGCCGGGACGAAAAGGAAAAATGGCCGCGCCGCTCAAAGGGGCAGGGTTGTTTTATAGGGGGCTGAAGGGCTGGGGGTGGGGAAGCCAAAAGCCGAGGTGGTGGGCAACTGTTGGTCAGTTTGAACTGCTGGGCGGGAAGCTGGGCGGCGGGAAGCTGGGCGGCGGGAGGGCTATGGCCGGTATGTAAAGTGAGAGATAAGGGAGCCTCTTTGTGGGGGAGGGAAAGAGAGAGAGAGAGAGCTTTTGCGGTAGGGGCAGAGTTTTCCAAACATTCCCGACTCCTTAAAGAAAAGAAAAAGAGGGGGTCAGGGGCGTCGGTTGTCTCTCTGGCTACTTCCTGCTGACAAGGGTCGACGGGGGGGTTCTGAAGAGGTTTCTTTTCCTAAGGAGCCTGGATGTTCGGGGAGAGGTCTGTTTCTTGCACTCGTTCAGGGTAGGGTTGGAGCAGCATCTGGTGGATGGTGACTCGAGTCAGTTCTTGAAAGCGCCGCTATAGGAACTGTAGAAAGCAAGGAGCAATAAGTAAGATTAGGCAAACAGCTACTAGGGGCCCAAGCAATGGGGACAAGAGGGTATACATAGAGGAAGACCACCACGCCGTGGCTTCAGCCGAGAACTTCTGACTCTGCAGGTTAGTTTTGAGTTTCTGGAGGCTCTCGATTCGGGTTTCTACTAGGCCGGATTCATTGATGTAGTAACAGCACTCTTCCTGTAGGAAGATACAGGTCCCTCCTCATTCAGCAGTGAGCAGGTCCAGGGCTCTTCGGTTCTGCAAGGCAACTTGGGCAACTGAGGTGATCTGTCGTTGGAGTGATGCTAAAGACTCAGTAGAGTCATCAATAGCCGCTTGGAGTTGTGAGGTCAGTCGGGCTATGGCCAGGTGAGAGTGGACTAGTGCCCCTCCTCCTAATCCTGAGTAAAGTAGGGGAGGTAGCTGTCTAGAGGAGTAGTCTCTGGCGGTGGGGGAGTTGAAAGCAGGAAGGGGCAACCATACAGCAGCTCAAATGGGCTAAGCTGTGATGGGCCCCGGGGGCTTGCTCTTACTCTGGTGAGGGCGATAGGAAGTCAGGTTACCCAGGATTGGCGGAGCTCAAGCATGAGCTTGGTCAGATGCTCCTTTATTAGGCCATTGGCCCGTTCTACCTTACCAGAGGACTGGGGATGGTAGGCGGCATGTAGCTTCTACTGAATTCCTAGAGAGGTAGAAACGGCATTAGTGACTTTGGAGATAAAGGCTAGGCCGTTGTCTGACTGTATGGTAGCTGGGAGTCCAAAGCGTGGGATGATGTCTTGAATGAGATGAGTGGCTACTGTCCCGGCAGACTCAGAGGCTGTGGGGTAAGCTTCAATCCAGCCTGAAAAAGTGTCAACAATGGTTAGCAGATGCCGGTACTGTTTGTGCTTTGGCATATGGGTGAAATCAATTTGCCAGTCTTGGCCAGGTAGGAACCTGCGTAGCTGATGAAGCTGGCGCCGGGGATGACAGGAACTCTGGGAATTAGTTTTCACGCAGACAGTACATGAGGACTGGACTTCCTGTATGGTATTGAGGAGGCGGTGGGGGTGAAAAAGTGGGTGGAGGAACTGGTATAAGGCTTTAGGCCCAATGTGGAGTGAATTATGGATGTCTTGGATTATCTGGTACCTTTGCTTTTCAGGGAGGATGAGGAGGTTATGCTTGAAGGCCCAGTCATCCTTGAACTGTACCCCGGGGGTAGACTGGAGGGTCTGGAGTTCTGAGGCAGAGTATTGAGGGCTAGGAGAAAAAGGCTGTGTGGGCTGGCGGTGGGGAAGGTTATGACGGCCTTCAGCTTTGAAAGGATGTCTCACCCCAGAAAGGGAACTGGGCAGGTGGGGATTACTAAAAAGGAGTGGGTGAAGGGAGTGGAGTTATATGAGCACATGAGTGGTGGGGTTTGATAGGGGATACTCGGGGTCCCATCGATTCCCATGACTAAGACCTGGGAAGGGGTGAGATGGCCAGAATAAGAAGGAAGTGCGGAGTAGGTAGCCCCCATGTCTTGTGACCCTAGGCTCGGCGAGGGTAACCGGAGTCGGAAAGCCAGGGCCCCGCTAGTCATCTAGCAGCCCTAGTAGACTGGGGAACGGAGCTCCCTCGGAGGTCGGCTCCTGGCAAGCAGGCTCCTCCCTACTGAGGGTGACCGCCGGCTGCGTAACACCAGTGTGTCTGTTTTGAGGAACCGGCACCCTGGGGAAGCTGGGGCAGTCTGACTTCCAGTGTCCCGGGAGCCGACAGATAGGGCAAGGCTTAGTTGGTGGCCATGGTTGTGGACAGGCTCGGGACCAGTGTCCTTCCTTTCCACATTTGAAACATGCCCCTGGAGGGGCATGGGTTTCGGCCTTGGGCTTCTGGTTCCCTGCCGGCCTTAGAGCCGCCACTAGGGCTTGGGTCTGGAGGGCAGCCTTCTGCTTCATGCGAGTTTGGCGGGCAGCCTCAGCCGCATCTTCCCTGGCATTGAATACTTTAAAGGCCATTTTTACCAGGTCTTGGATGGGAGTCTCTGGCCCCTCTTCTGCTTTCTTTAGTTTCTTTCTTATGTCGGGTGCTGACTGGGAGATAAAATGGGAGGCTAGATCTAGTCGAGTGTACCGGACTAGGGCTTCTTATGTTTGAGTGAGGTATTGGAATTCTTTAATATAGGTGGACGGGTTGGCTGAGAAGGATCCTAAACGTTTCTCAATTTGGGACAGGTCTTGGAGTGAGAAAGGAACATGGACCCTGACTAAACCTTCTGCGCCTGCTACTTCTCGGAGTGGGGCCAGGATAGCTGGCTGGTGAGAGCGGGTGTGGGCCGCCACCGGAGAGGCAAGAGGAAGTGTGGCCTCTGAGGGAGGGGGCTCGGAGGGAGTAGAGGGAGAGCGAGGCATGGCCTCTGAGGTAGGAGGTGCAGAGGGAGTGGGGGAAGGGCGTGCCGTTGATGGCGACTGGTTGCTGAGATTGGCAGGAGAGGACAGATGTTCAGGCAGATCCTCCGGTGAGGAGTAGGGAGGGGGAGAGGTAGTGGAGGAAGATTTACGGGGGGTTCGAGATAAGAGGATTTGGTAGGTGGAGCAGGAAGAACATAGGTCGGGGTGGGTACGGAGGTCCCAAAAAGCCTGGACGTAAGGAATTTCATTGTCCTTGCCCGCGCGGCGACAAAAATCGTCGAGATCTCGGAGGGTGTTGAAATCAAAAGTGCCAGTCGGGGGCCAATGTGACTGGTTACTGAGTTTGTATTGGGGCCAAGCCACCTGAGACAGGAAGATAAGCTTTTTCTTTCTGAGGGTTTGGGAATATCCCAATTTGGTAAAATTCGCAGCAAGCACCCAAGGGGGGTGCTCAGAGGTATTTTGGACTCCGAATTTCCTATGGCAGGCGCAGCTACAGACTCTCCGGCGCGGATGGGCAGATGCAACGAAAAGGCGTCCCCGTTCGTTGCAAATTCCCCGGAGTACAATTAAGTACGGAAAGGGAAGCGGTCAGAGGGGCGTCCCCCGTCTGGCGGCTGTCCCTCGGAAGGCTCCTGGAGCCGGAATGGAAGACTACCTTGGCTCGGCCGAGACTAGGCAAGGAGTCCGTGCGGAACGCCGGAGAGGGAGCAACTGCACCGTGCCATAGGAAGAGGAGACGGGAAGCGGGGGAAGGCAAAGCAAGAAAAACTTGGCTTACCTTAATCGGAATGTGGAGGTGGCAGGGCCAGTGTTGGGTAGGTCGGGGAGGGGGGCCGTGGCCGGGCCAACAGCCTCAGCTCCCGTCCCGGGTTTCCGGCACCATTTGTCCGACCTACCCTCTGCGGGAAGACTGAGCTCGTTCGGAAAAAACCGGACCGCAGGCTAGAGGAAATTCCTTAAGTTCAGGCTTTATTGAGAGGAAAGAGCCTCCGGGCAGGCCAGCCGGGACGAAAAGGAAAAATGGCTGCGCCGCTCAAAGGGGCAGGGTTGTTTTATAGGGGGCTGAAGGGCTGGGGGTGGGGAAGCCAAAAGCCGAGGTGGTGGGCAACTGTTGGTCAGTTTGAACTGCTGGGCGGGAAGCTGGGCGGCGGGAAGCTGGGCGGCGGGAGGGCTATGGCCGGTATGTAAAGTGAGAGATAAGGGAGCCTCTTTGTGGGGGAGGGAAAGAGAGAGAGAGCTTTTGCGGTAGGGGCAGAGTTTTCCAAACAGTCAGAACTCAGCTTCTCCATTCCTTGCTTCTGCCTCTCCCCTTGTGGGCTTCAGTCCCAGACAGTCTTTTGCCAAGGGGTGGCATCTCTGGGCCTCCATTGTCACCCCATTGTGTCACCTGACATTGGGCATCCTTGAGCCAATTTCTGTGGCAGGGGGATCCCATGCCTCTCCTGGTGTGGGTGGTGCCACCTCATCCAGACCACAGGGGCTGAGAGTGAGGAGGAGTGGCTTCCTGTGGTGAAGCCCACTATGGTTGGGAAGGGGGAGGTCAAGTGGACGGAAGCTGAGTGTGGATGCTTCCTCCTGGGGTGAGGTCTTGTGTCCCAGGCACTAAGGGATTCAGCCTACAGGCACAGGACCTGGCTCCTCAGTGCCCATGCCCCCACATGGGTGCTGTGCAGTCACTTGCATGCAGCCAAGGGCAGCTGCTCTGACCTCAAGCTTTAGATGAGCCCCGCTTCCTGACCAGACTCCACAGGTTACCCCACACCCAGGCCCAGTCCCCTCCTGACACACCCTGTCCCACAGGCGGCATCCGTGCCCCGGGTGTGGGGCCTGGGACCTCCACTGTCCTCTCACTGTGCAGAAGGGGAAGGTACTGGGTGATCCCCCACCTGGGGTTCAGGTGCAGCACTGGGGGCTTCACCTTCCCCAGTGCTCTCTCTCCTCCTAGATAAGGACACCCCTAGCCCCCGTCCAGGCACAGCCCAGGAGCCATGAGCAGTTCTCCTGTCAAGTGTGGCTGCGAGGCTGCTGAAAGCAGGTGGGCTGCTCTTCCCAGGCTCCATGGATAATTGAAGATCCCTTAAAATGTGTGTCTGCAGCCTGGAGGACACCCCCATTCCTCACTATGTGCAGGCGGAAGCCTAGCCAGTATTGCCCAGGGCCGTTTCTGCCTGGGAAGGCCCTGGAGGGGCATGGAGGACAGGTCCAGACCTGCCACTCCTGGGCCCTGCCCTGCCCCCTCTCCTTCCCTGCCTTTCCTCTTTTCCCCATCCTAGCAGGTAGCAGGCATGAGACCTGGCCCTGGGGCTCCCCAGCCAGGTGGCACAGAGAGGCCCGCTCTGGGTGGGTCAGTGTTGGGCCTGGGGAGGTCCCCAGTCTCTCTACCTCTCCTTGGGCACTGACAGAGCCTGCTCCAAGGATGGGCTTGGCCTACAGGGAGGGGCCACACCTGGGCACACCCCAGCCAAGGGCCAGGCTGTAGCTGCTCTCAGCAGATCCCTGGAGGAACCGCCCAGCAGATGCTCGGGGGCAGGGAGGGAGCGAGGGCACAGAGCTCCCAGGAGCCATCGGCAGTGCACAGCTGCCGTCAGGAGACCAGCCCCACTGTGTGTGCGCATGAAAGCATGTGTATGGGGGGGAGGTGATGTTAGAACGGACTTGAGAGTGTGCACAGAGCGTGGGAGTGACCAGAGCTGTGTGGCTGCCTGGGACTGTGGGGACACAACCACGTCTCTATGTACGTCTCTATGGCTCTGTGCATTACAAACCCCTGATCAGGGAAGAGGTCTTAGTGGGGAAGGGCATTTCCTTTTGGCTCCAGGCTGATGCCTCTCCTCACATACTCAGCTCTAAGAGGCATCCTTTACCCACTGTTATGAGCTCCTCCTCGATTCATTCTGAGAGCTGAGCCACAAGTCCTAATCCTTCAAACCTGAAATTCCTGGTAATGAAATCTGTGAAAGGTGAAAATTAAAAATGCATGGCCACAATATCCTGGTCCCTGTGGTGGCCCGAGGTCCCTGCTGAGCTCCGCGTGGGGCCTCGAGGTGGCAGTACCTGCCATGAGCCTGGCGAGCCTTCGCTCCCTCATTAGCAAGAAGGGTGCTTCTGCCTTCGCCTTCCTCTGCTCTGGAAGAGACTGTTTCTCCCTCGGCTCTCCTACCCACTCTGGCCTCCCGGTCCTCACCACTGGGACTCTGGGGGTCTCGACACAGAGGTGTGAGGAGAGAAGGGTTGGGGGCTGCCAGGGTGAGCCCAGCGAACAGGGCTGGAGGCTACAGCCTTGGGCAGCCCCTTATCTCTGGTCCCATCTTCTGTGTTCCTCATCTGGTTGTGGTGGGTGCTTTGGGGAGGCGGGAGGCTCAGGGCAGAGTGGCCTGGGCCAGGGCCTGGCCACAGGGTCTGGGTGGCTGGTATCTTGGGCTGAGCTGGACTTGCCCACTGGGGACACTGGGGACACTGGGGATGGGGCCATTCAGGGTTCTCGCCTGGAAGTGGTCCTGTTTTCCTTGGCCCAGAGAGAAGCTTTCAGGACAGGGCATGAAGGTCATTGCATGCTGCACCAGGGACTTCTTGCACTCTCCCGCTTCCTCGAAAGAGAGCTGGGGTCTGAGTTGACCCAGGTCTATCCTGGGGCCTTCAGGAACAGGGCAGAGGGCCCTCAGGCCACTGACTTCCTGAGATGATTGTGCTTTGTGGCCAAGAATGGAAGGTGTGGTGGTGGGTGGGGCAAGGGACAGGGCCAGCCAGTCATATACGAAGTCCTAAAGGCCTGGCCATGCTGGGACCTGGTATTGATGTCTTTAAAGATGAGTATCAGCCAGGCACATTGGCTCATGCCTGTAATCCCAGCACTGTGTGAGGGTGAGGTGGGAGATCACTTGAGCTCAGGAGTTTAAAACCAGCCTGGGCAATATAGCTAGATGCTGTTTCTACCAAAAATACAAAAATTAACATGGTGGCACATGCCTGTAGTCCTAGCTACTCAGGGGCTGAGGTGGGAAGATGGCTTGAGCTCCGGAGGTGGAGGCTGCTGTAAGTCCTGGTGGCTCCACTGCCCTCCAGACTGGGTGATAGATCAAGACCCTGTCTCGAAAATAATGATAATAACAAAAGTGTGGCATCAGCTGGGAGGTGGGGAGTGAAGGCCATGGACGCTAGAGCTCCCTCTGGGTGGCTCTCAGGGTGGAACTGAATCGCTGTCCTGGGAGCAGGGAAAGCCACCCAAATATCCCGCCTCTTGACAACAGTGCTCCAGACTTGGCAGGGACAGGTTTGCATTTGATTCTTCATCCTGACCACCGTGAAGAAGGGGGACCCCTGGCAAGGGGCTAGGAGACATGGGCCCGGGCTGCAAGCAAAGGGGCTGAGGGGACAACGTGTGCTGGCAACCCGGCCCTCAGGACCATCCCGAGTGCTCAACCTCCATGCGGCTGCTCCTGCACCTGCACCCGCACCCCTGACCTTCACCCCTACCGGCAGTGCTCCCCTCCCAGCTCCTGCACCTTCCCCTCCTCTGCTTGTATCTCAGTCCCACCCACTTTTCCAAGCCCAGCCCCTCAATGCTGCTTTCCCAGATCCCTTTCCTCCCCTTCCCAAGCCCTTTCTGTGCCAAAGATGCACTTTATCCAGAGTCACCCAGGAGCCACTCTGGCCACGCGTCCCGCTCCCCAGGTGTGTCTTATGGTCAGGATCCTCTCCCACCACCTCCCTTTCTTCAAATGAGGGTACTGGCTGATCCTGTGTTCCTGCCAGGGGAAAAAAACTTGTTACCTGGGGCATTCCCTTCTGGAAATCTTCCATCCGTCGGGCTTAGGATGGCTAGGCAGGGCAGGACCACACTGGTGCTGACCCGGGAGGCCGGACCAGCCTCCCATGGTGGCTGCAGCACTGTGCAAGGAGTCCCCGTGTGTGTGAACCTCTGTCTGCGTGTGTAGAGTGTGTGCCCCCGGCCCCTGAGAGCCTGTGGCCACGTGAATCCATGCACATGAGTGTCCATGCACTTGTGTGTGCCCCGATGTCCCAGAGTGGGCTGTGGCTGAGCCGAGAGTCTGCTGTGGTCAGGCCACGCTTGGTGCTGGGGCCTCACTGCTGGCTGGGGCCTAGCATCTTGTTGTGCCTGGCTTCTTTATTAATCCGTTTGTGAATAGACTTGGGAGTTCATGTTGGGAATCTGGCCATTTGCTCCCTTTTCCTCCAGGCCCCCCCCAGGAGGAGGAACACGTGTTAAATATTTGCGGTTTTGCTGCATTAGGTTTTAAAGTTCAGCCATAATTACCGTGACCAGGTGCCACGTGGATCTGCTCCCTGGAGAAGGCTCCTGCCGTAGCGGACTGGTGTCTGCATTCCAGGCCAGCCTCTGTGTGCCGTTTGCACAAACCTGTGTGCCTTGCCTTCCAGCATCTCCCTTTTGCAGACCCCACTGGTTGCTGGGCCCTGCACTCAGCTGGGCTGTGCTCTCTGTGGTTGGGTGTTCTCCTCTGGCCCAGCCCCGGCCCACACCCCTGAAGAGCAGGCTGTGGGCAGCTGGGGCACCAACATGAGACTGTGGTGAGCAGAGCCTGGGAGCTCCAGCAAGTGCCTTTGCCCCCACGGCAGGCTCACAGCCATACCTGTGGCTGTCCAGATACATGCTGTCAGAGCAGATGGAACTCTACTTCCAGAGCACATGTTAGTTTTTAAGTCCCCCACCCTAGCCTGCCCCATGTCAGACTAGTCGGCTACTCGTTCATGTAAATTTCATCCAATCATGTTTTCTTGCACAAATTCAGCATCATTCACACATCCCCGTGGAGTTCACAGTTCTCTCCAGGCCTGAGCGAGTGGTGGCATCCATGTCCTTGACGTGGTTGTATGCAGATGTTGCTTTTGGGGCGACCCCGGTGGCCAGGGTGGTGCCCTCGGCTTCCTGG